TTTTTCCAAATAAAACTTTTCTCAGCAAGCTCATAATGCTATAATAATGCATTCATTGTAATTATGTTGTTTTTAATTGAATTCATTATCTAAAAAATAACTCCTTTATATTCACAAAATTTTGATATTTGGTAGATAAAATAATTTAAGTTATTCTTGTTAAAATTTCTGAAAGGAGTTATTATAATTAAAAAGGTGTAATTAATAATGGGGAAACAGAACTGCAAATTTTTTAGGGGGCTAGGCATAGGTTTTCGAGGGGGGTTTGCATCCAGTGAAAATCCTGTCTTTGTAGACGCTAATTTTGACTAATAATATTTATTAATTTTAAAAAATAAAATACCATTTTTTTATAATTCCAAAAATATTTAATATTATTTTTCTTCTAATTACAATTCATAAATAATATATAAAATAAATATTATTTTTATAAAAAATATTTATCACGCCGCCAAATTTTTACATCGGCGGAGGCGTGTTTAGCGCCGACACTTTTTGGCAGCGGCGTCGGCGTCATCAAAAATCACCGGCGGCGCACATGTCTACTTACCCTACAAAACATAGGCGCATCCAGTATTTTGCTAATGGGGGGAGCATTATTAGGTGAGTTTTTTCCCTATCAATTTTATTCAAGATCGTTAGATCCACTTATTGTAGGCCTGTGGCTTTAATCGATTTTTATAAAAATAATTTTGGGTTTTCACTTTTTTTATAAAAATGCCTTTTTCCTAAAAATTTTGAAATTTGCCCTTATTTTAAAAATTTATTATCTTTTACAAATTTTTCTTTCAAAATCTTCCTTATAGTAATATATATTATACAATTTTTGGAGGGAGGGGTGTGGAGGGGGTGAAATTTTATTAGCTTTAAATGTTATTTACGAGAATAGACAAATTTGAGGTGGGGGGGGGGGCATCTTTAGTTACGCGCCTGCTACAAAATTCATAATATTTAATTTATATAAGAAATAAAGTATTATTACTTATACTTATACTATAAAAATCACAATATTTCACTTTCTAAAATTAATATAAATTAAAATAAACTAATTACCTATAAATGAAAGTTAAAAAACCAGAAAATTTGAAAAATGCTAAGGGAAAAAAAACTGTCTTCACAAAATAAATTTTTAATTTATTTTATATTTTATGGATTTAAAGAAGAAAATATATTTTTTAAATATTATTCATAATATTTTTTGTTAACACTGAGGACTAGGGATGTCACATAGGGAAAATTTCCCGGGAAACTTTGAAATATACCGGAAATGTTCCCTATAGCTTCCCCAATTTTATTTTATGTTTCTTTGATCAAATAATCAGGATTTTTATCATATTTTTAAAAAATATATTTTTCCCTCTTGGTTCATATATTATAATTGTTTTTGGTTTTTGTATATACGTTCATTTTCTATAATATAGCTCAACTCTAGTAATCTTCATCGGTAGGAAATTTTTTTTATTGACTGAAATATATTTAAATTTTTTAAAAAGTTAAAGAGATATAGGATAGGTTAGACCAACTTCCTCATCTAATTTTAATTCAATTACTAATAAATTTTATTTCTGAAAAATAATTTAATGAAATATTTTGATTTTTATGTTAAATTGTCAATTTTCCTTTGGAAAAAATTATTTTAATATTTAAAAACAGCATATAAAATTCTCTCAAGATATTTACTCAGTAAAAATTTGTTAAACAGTGAATATGAAAGGATTAGAAATATAGTAACTGAAAGATAAGATAAAAATTTGACCCTTATTAATGGTTGGATAAATATAAGAGTTGGAATGTTATGAATTTTAATATGGCAACAAGGTCCCTTTTCTATAAATTAATTGATATACATATTGGAAAATATATATATATATAGTGAAGTTATTAAAGTAATTGAAGATATAGGATATACAAATTAACATCATAATAAAAGATAATGCAAATAATAAAGAAAGACTGGAAACTTGTAAGAAATAAATATTCAATTATCGAATGCATAGAGTTCGCATCTCATGGACCTAATTTGCTTTTAAAGGATCTAGCAAATAACTTATTGCCAATTTAAATTTTTATAGCAAAAGAAGTATAATAAAATATGTAAAATTCAACAATCTTTTACACATTTAAGGAAAAAAACTACTTTGATAAAAATAGAATTGTTTCCAGTTGCCTAGCTTAACTCGTTGGACAGTTTAGTTTTGAAAATTAATAATTTGTTAAAAAATAAAAGTTTGCGGCAATGCATCCTTTTTTAGAGATAAGAAACTTAATCTTCTTGATGTTTTTTAAATTATTGCATAACTATATAATTTTATAAAGTCAGTTCTACACAAAAAGATAGTTGAAGCCAACAATTCATATTTATCTGACCTTCCTCAAGTATTTATTTATATCAAGCAGATCTCTTACTGAACGACATTACAGAGTCGAATATATTTAAAAAAACCAGAAAAATATTTTGTTGCCGGAATAAATACTACATTACCCTGCTCATATTCTTGATCCAAGATATTGTGAATTTAATTTCAAAGACAGTGAAGTTGATAAAGGATAAGATGTTAAACCGATTTTCTGATACCTAAATTTCGATGCTACGGGACAAATGACAAGTTACTCGATTTTGAGGTCTGGAATCGTTTTCATCTTCAAAAGAAGATAACAAATTAAATAATTAAAATTATGTTTAAATAATTTTTTAATAGTCTAAATATTTTTAATAAAACATAAAAAAAATTCAATATTGACCTCTAAAATAATTTTTTAAGGGAAATTTCCATTTTTCTAGTGATGTTAAAAGTTACTTTTGAAACATAACTAGTTACAGTTACTAGTTACATTGGCAAAAACATAACTAGTTACAGTTACTAGTTACATTTTTACAAAAGTAACTAGTTATTAGTTACAGTTATTTTCAAAAATAACTATTTACTTACTTTATACTTCCTTCATATGCGCATTATTTATTTATTGAATGCATTTATTTTATATAAAATAAATTAGGATAAACAAAGTATAATCAGTTATTTAAAATAATATACAATTTATTTATATAAAAAAATATCGCAAAATTGAATATTTACATCGAATATAAAAATATATATTTGCATTGAAAAAAAAACATTTATTTTTCATAAAACTTAGAATCTAATAAATGTTTATTTGCTTTTAACAACAAATTAATTTCCAAGTTATTATCTAGGAGACGTGCTCGTTTATCTCCAAAAATGAGCTTACCTAGACTGAATAAGCGCTCTACGGGAGCACTTGATGTTAGAACAACATTATATTTAATAAAGAGTAATTTTAACTTTGGGAAATCGTTATATAAAAAAAAGTGTTGTTATTAGATTTGATAAAGTTTTCTATAAGTTCATTATCCAGAATATTTTGGCGCTTTAGGTCAAAAAATCCAACTACATCAAGTGATGTTGGTTTTGAGCATGATTCTTTCGTCTGGGATTCACTTTGAGGTATTAAGGTATTTATTAAATTTAAAATTTCCTCCTTTTTTGCTTTATTCCTTTCTTGCCTAATTCAAGGCCAGTCAGTTTTAAATAAAGGGTGAAGAATTGCAGCAATGATTATGTCATTATCATAAAGATTATTAAACCTATGACATGATATTATTAATTTATAAATAATTATTTGATTTTAGTTATCTTTTTTTAATACTAGCTAATATAGTATCCTTTAGAGGTTGACAATATTTTAATCCCTGCACATCTGCCATACATATAAGTATTTGTGTTATTGTTGGGAACAATCAGACATTTTCACAAAATTTTAAATTAATAAATTTAATTTAAAAAATTAATTTAATTTAAAATTAATTTATCACAACATATAAAAAATAAAATTAATTATTTTAATATATCTTTAAAAGTAACTAGTTACTTGTTACTTTTGGCAGTTACATTTCAAAATTTTTAACTAGTTACAGTTACTAGTTAATTTTAAAAATATAACTAGTTACCTTAACATCACTACATTTTTCCCCCAAATTTCCGAGGAAATTTCTCTCAATTATAGTTTCCCGGGAAATTTGCCATACCTAGAATTTATGAACCCTCTACTTTTAAAAAGGGTCCGGGTTTGGGTTCACCAAAAATACGGTTTGGGTTCAAATCCTTAAAAAGATACTTTTATTATTTATTAATTATATTTCTTTTCTTATAAAATATAATCGCCATTATTTATTTAAATATCAAATATATAATATTAACAATTAGAGACTATACAAATATACTATTAAAAACGATATAAAATAGAAAATAGAAAATTATTCTAAAGAGGGATGGGGGGGGGGAGGGGGTGTTAAATAAATTTTAAAAACGATGGGATAAAAAGCCTATTGTTATAAGATTTGATGAATAGAGGATGAAATGAATTATCAATAAAAATATAATTTTATTTTATACTTAATAAAAATAATTTCATATAATTCTATTCCCTATGTTAATTTTTTTATGGTAGCCAGGACATTTTTTTATGAATTAAGCTAGATGTTGATTAATACTATTTGAAAGAAATATTTCAATATGCCTATTTATGTGTATTCTATTTTAAGAGCTGTTTAACTAAAATATTAAATCTATAAATAATATAGTTAATTAACATAAAATTAAATAAGTAATTTATGATATGATCTAATAACAAATACAGTACTGGTGCAGAGATATTAAACACAATTACTATGAAACAGTTAGATAGCCATTCAAGAGAGAGATATAAGAGCCTTAAAAATACGATCAAACGTAGAATAACATAATCCCATTATTTTTAAAGAGTAACATTAAATTTCAAATGATTCCCCTCATTATTTGAAAAGGTTTATCTTAAATTGTCCAATATTTGACCTCTAAGCGCAATTTTCGTTGTAGATATAAAGAGCTGAAACACAGCCTTGTACGCCATTTTGATCCTAATTTAATTAAGGCCAAATTGAATCAGAACTTTCGATGTTTATTAAACTAATTTTATATATTATAATATTTTTAATTAAGGCTCTCTCATTTCTTATACTCGAAGTTGCAGTCCCGAATATTTTCCCACAAAATGTGAAAATCTAAAATCAAATACATTACACCTTCATTATCTAAACGATTCCCTATTATTTAAAGAACCAAAAGTTATCAATATTTGCGTCAAATCGTGTCCAACTAATTCATGCAACTCTTTGCCCTTAGATCAGACATCCCGTGGTCCATCTCGATATCAAACTAATAATAACTTAATTCTATGCATTTTATACATATCTATATGTTCATTCCTATTATAACTATTATTTATGCTATTAAATAGTATGTATTGTGTGTCTGGCCCAAATATTTATTATTTAATAATTCTGACTAAGTAAATTCAAATATTTAGTTATAAAAGAGTCTAGGTTTAAAAAGTATGGTTAAAATTGAAAGCAAATATTCATAACTAGTCTAGTGAAGTGAGTATAATCAAAATAGGCATTAAGTATTTGAATTGAAAACGCAAATAAAAAAATAATCTTAAAATTTCATAATAATTAATACTAGATCTTTATTTCATATAATTTTTATAAAATCATTTTAATAGGATATATTTTTTTTTAAATAGGTAGATTGTAAAAAAAAAATAATTGTATTTAGTTAATATTACTTTTAATGTTTGAATTAATAATATTTAACGTAATATTTTTTAAATAGAGGAAGGTAAAGGTAGCGGAAGCTATTTTGTAACTAATAGCTATTAGCTACATTTTTTTTGGAAATGTAGTACCGGGGCCCTATTAAGATGAGGTTAAGCATTTTAGTAATTTACTAACCTAAAATGATCATAATTTGTGCAAGTTTTTTTAATTTGACGTACCCTATTTAATTTTTTCTAGAGCGGGTGATCTCTATATAAAAATAGAATCACTTTCCCTAATTTAGTTTTCAGACCAACTGCTTACAATTTATCAAACCCTAAACTAAAATTGCGGAGTTGATAATCGTCATCCTTCATTGCGCCTACACGGGCTCTAGCCATCGAGGCAGGTGAATGCGCAGTATGATATGGGGAAGGAGTATAATTAAAAATTATTTTAGATGAGAATATTTTAACTAGAGATTTATTAGGACTATTGCCTATAAAATGACAATTTCTAATACATAAATTCAATTATAAATTAATGATAAAATATTAAATGTATATAATCACCGTATGAATCGCTATATCATAAATGTCTCGAAAGAGAACTTTGTAAAAATAAATTTTTTAAAATTATATTTAAAAATTAAATGTTGCAAATATATACACAAAAATATACTTAAGAATTATTGCACATATATAAACCTAATAACTGAAGCATTTTTTAGGTAATAGAAAAAAATATTTATCTGAGATTAGCTAACAATTATAATAAATTTAAAATGTTTAAAAATATTCTCTTGGTAAAGTTAGAGGAGAATTTATTGATTCAATTGTAATTTTTTCATTTTGGCCCATGGTAAAATTTCCCGGGTTGTTAGAGCTTCGTCAAAAAAATTATGCTTGTTTTCATAAGGCTTTTATAACTCCTATTTTCCCTGAGCTCGTCATTTTTTATAAAGGTAAAAGAAATTTATAACTTCATTTTTTTTACTCGAATCGAACTCGTAACTTAAAGTGGGGTCAGATTGTACCTCTTTCTAAAAATAATAGTTAGACTAAATATTCGTCATGGTTGATGTATTCTGACCAAATTTTTATAATGCCAGTGCAGACTTAAACCGTATATTTATTGCAGAGCATTAAATTATATGTTAATGTTTTTTGAAAGTATCTTTGCTAAATTAAAAAAAATTGTAACTTCTATATTATTTTTGTCATAAAAAAATTCGAAACTTCTAGACTTTTATTCTAATTATTTTTATACTATGGCGTAAAATATGATAATGTAGTGGTTTATATTAGTTCCCATTGAAATAATATGAATTATTTTGATGATACAAATACTGTCGAGCTAATATCAAAAATTTCGGATGTTTTCTCAGTGAATATTCCTTATATAAGCTTACTTCTCATCACTCTTATCATAATTTTGATTGATAGTATTATCAAGAAACAAAGAAGTCTAATACGAAATCGAATTCATTTGGATCTTTTAGAAATGCGATTAACTGCATTACAAAATCATAGGAATCATATGCTAATAAATTATCCCATTCACCTCAATAATAATCCAATTTGGAGAATGTTACCAAACGAAATGGGACGGGATCCTATGCAAGAATACATGGCAATTCCAACCACTCTAGCTGATATTAATTCTTGAAGAAATGAAAACCCTCGCTCATCCGTCAGACGTCGACACAGACCCAATTGTCCACAGCCGGATGGTAAAAAATCACCAACATTAAGGAGAAATAAAAGCGATCAACTTAAAATGAATAATTATTAATTTTCAACAATAGCTTTATATTAAATTTTGTAAATAAAAGTAAATAATCATAATAATCATTTATAATATCAATAAATATAAATATTAGAAGAAAAAAAATTAAATTTTTTAAATATAATACTCAAAGCAAAAATTGATGGAAGGAGTGTATAGGGAATGGGGGGGGGGGGGGGGGGGTATAGAAATCGAATAGGAAATAACTTTCTAAAATGAAATATAAAAACTTTAATTTTTAGAAAAATTAAATTTTATGTCTATTCTTTAACTATTCATAAATTATTGGTCAAAAAAATTTCGATAAAATAAAAAAATTTAAAAATATACCACTCTGAATTCCCTCGATGAGCTAATGTAATTTATTTTCTAGATCCTTTTTAATAGGGGATGCATAGTTTGGTCAAATAAAATTTTGTTAATTAAAAAAAAAAATTTAATATTACCATTTTCTAAATCCCTACGAAGAGCTAAAAATGGTTCTACATACATATTCAAAAAATAGCGCATAATTATCGACGATGCATATTTTAGTCATTCAAATAAGTGATTCTATTTTATTAATTTACCAGTTTTTTATATAATTAAAAATAATATTTTCTACATCATCTCAATACTAATAACTATTTTATGTTGTTAAATTAAAAAGAGCATCTATAGTAGGGGATGTGTGGTTTGGTCAAAAAAAAATATTATTAATATTTTCTTAATCCCCTTGAAGAGCTAATACATGATTATATATTTGTTTTTTTAAATTAGAGCCTTTTTAATAGGGAATGCATAGTTTGGTCAAAAAAAGAATTTTTTTAAAATTAATTTTACTATTTTCTGAATCCCCACAGAGATGAACATGATTCTGTTCATATTTTAAAAATAATACATAATTACCGAATATGTGTAATTTATTCAACTAAGAGTGTTTTTTTATTTTCTATATCATCACATAAGCTATTACAATTCTATATTGATTTTATTAAATTTGAACTCTTAGTCAAAAAAAATTTTGAGAATTAAGATTTATTTTAAAATTAATATTACAATTTTCTGAATCCCCTCAAAGAGCTAAATACGATAGTTTATTTATTATTTTTAATTAGAGCCCTTTTAATAGGAGAAACAGTTTAGTCAAAAAAAAAATTTTCAATAGTTATTTTCTCAATCCCCTCTAAGAACTAAAGGTGATTGTATATTTATTTTTTCTAATAGAGCCTTTTTAATAGGGGATGCCTTAGTTTGGCCAAAATTTTTTCTTAAAATTAATATTCTCATTTATGAACCCACTAAAAAGCTAAACATTATTGAAGATGTGTAATTTAGTCATGTAAAAAAGGATTTTTTTTAATACTTCATTAATTCACCAGTTAAATAAAAAATTTCTACATCAACTTTATAAGCTAGCCACAACGCTATATTATTATTAAATTTGTGCTTCTATAATAGAATATGCATAGTTCAGGAGATGTGTACTATATTCATGCCCCATATGTGCTTTTCATTCAATATATTTTTTTTTAAATTTGCTTTGTGATCTTTTTAAACTTAGCCTGACCTATAATTATATCATTTTAGGTACCATTTCAGGCAAGGTCTGATAAAAATAAATTTGATTAGTATGCTATAAGGTTCAAGGCTCACTATATTTTTTATGACTTGAGTTAGATAAAAAAAACATAATTCATTATCAAAAACGTTATTAGTTTTCTAAGAATTTTAATTAGTTAAATGATTTAATTATGGGTTTCAGACAAATAAGTTATATATTTGGACAGGCAGGGTAGGTAAAATATTTACATTCAAGATGCCTTTCTTTCTTACACAAGCTACTTTTTAAAGAATGTCACATTGAAAAACCAGTGATACAGACCTCCAGTACCAATTTCTAATAAATTTTATTATTACCCATTCACCAAGTAAATATGAAATACAATAGCAGTCAATATTTTTTTATATGTATAATTTTTTTTTAAAGAAATTTTTAATCAAAGTTAATTGGTACCAAAAATATATGATTTTATGAACGTTCTTGGATGAATAATGATATTTTTTATTAAATTAAAATATATACCAATAAAATATAGAGGGATTTAATACATAAATTTGTATATAAATAATAATTTCAAATCTATTTAATATTCATTTGCTATAAAATATTATTAACTAATGATAAAATATTCTAATAAAAATTTGAATAAGGCATTTGACTATCCAATCCATCCCATGAAGGAAAACAGTGGCATTTACCAAGATTAACACTTTTCATAGTTTGATTTTTTCTACAAATATCTGGATTAAATAAATATTATAAATATCTCACCTTGTGTCGTAGGTTATATTGTTTGGATTATTTTGTGATACATCCATATTCGTTAGTTGATTCTGCACCTATTTAAATAAAATACATAATAAATATTAAATATAGGTCTGCATCAGTTTCCCTAAGATGCTCCCTGAATCTTGATTAAGTAGTGCATGTGTGAGTCTTTTACAAATATTAATAATCTGACAGTTTTTAAACCTGATTAGCATCGTTAACGTTTTCAGGTAACGGTTTTATGGAGGTATTTTGAATAAAATCTGAGTTACCATAAATTTTAGTATCCAAATCTATAATATTAAAGCAAGCCTTCTTGGGGTTAGGAAACTGATCAGCATTCTATAGGTAATTAAATAGTAAGGATTTAAAATGGTAGATTTGGCTCATGTCAGGTAATGCCAAGGGTTAATCTAATAAAAGGTGTATATAATTAAATCTTACAAATTCGATTTGAGAATTATGTTGCTGATTAAAAAAATCGGTTTTACGCTTGGAACTATTTGATATAGTATGCGATTGAACGTAATTAAGACAATTATCTTGGCAAAAGGGCATATCTATCAGATTTATAGTTAAAAATTACAAATAAAATTTTATAATAAATAATTGTTTATATGGTCTGATTTGTAAATTTCTCAAGGCCTAAATTGAAATTTAATTTAATTATTTAAATATTTTGATTATTTATATAAAGTATCATTTAGGTGTATCCTAAGACTATGAACAGGGTTGGACAGTATCGCGGATATTTGTATCCGGATATTTGTATCTAAGATACAAATAATTTAAAATTATCTGTATCTTAATTAACTTTGTATTAAAAAGAAACAGATACTTTAAAATAAATTCATATTAGTTAATTTAAATACTAATAAAATTTAAAATGATATTTTTTTTAAAATTTATTTTAATTATTATTTTAATTTTATATGTAAATAAGAAAATACAATTAACATAAAAAGTTAATATACTATGAATTAGGAAAAAAAATTAATCATAATAACAAAAAGACAATATTGAGCATTAATAATATAATAATGTAAAATACAACAAAATAAATAAAAGTGAAACCAGCATAATTATTTAAAATCCTCTTCTACCTCTAATCATTGGGAGAGATGAATTGATAAAACAAACATAATTCGTCTTAAGAATAGCTATTGTCATCCTCTGCCTTAAGTTAAAGCCTTCCCGAGGTTCTCCAGAATTTTTCCTGATTAGGCGGCCAACGTCTTATCTTTTTAGCCAAATCTTCATATGTTGTTAAAGTGGAGCAGATGATTAGTACGAATATGTACTTAGAAGAATCAGCGCTGTATTTGGTGATCTTAAAATTTCGAGCTCTGTTCAGAGCATCCTTGTTAAGATTGGAAGAGAAGTTCGTGTCCAAACAAGAAAAATCCCATATAAGAAACTTTCCTTGTGATCATGGAATTCGTGTAACTCTATCAGAACGCCTAACATCGGGTAAGAGATCAGTAGGCTCCAATGAGGTAGGAAAACCAGCTGATCTAAGTGCAAGAGATATGATTTGATTGCACCTCGAGTGCCGAGTTTGCCGACCGGGATTACGATTGCAATGTAAAATATGAAGCGCCATATTGTCATCATCAGTATGACATTTTCTGCATTTATATGGTAATGTAAAAGGAATGTTGAGCCTGTTACATAAAGCATAGCTGAGCTCGTGATTGTCCAATTCAAGTTTAAGTTTGCTAGATGGAATAACATCTAAAAATTCATATCCCCGATCCTTGATAATTTCAATGAATGTGGATCTAGCCAAAGGTGAAAGACTCGAAATAAGGTCATCAACGGGGTTTTTCACAAGTGGTAGATCCCTTCTGTTTTACAGAGATCGAAAATATTGTTGTGGTTGTCACGGATTTTGCCCATTCCGTTTTAGCATTATTCAAAAAGAGATAGTGGACTGACAGATGTTGGTCGATTAGTCTATGTGCCTGAAAGTGCCTAGCAATGAACGCGCATCGTCAGTGGGGACTTTATACCAAGTCCACCATGTTTGGAAGGAAGTGTGTCTTGTCTTGATGACAAGAAATGTGCGTAAACTTGATATTTAAGCAGTCACTAATAATTACTCGCATTCTGGTTTCGAATCTTTCCAGATGCAACCTCTCTTGTCTTGATGACAAGAAATGTCCGTAAACTTGATATTTAAGCAGTCACTAATAATTACTCGCATTCTGATTTTGAATCTTTCCAGATGCAACCTCTCTAAAAATAATGGGCTCGATCGAAAAATTTAATCCGAATTTAGATATTTTAAGATAATGTATGATATATGATGTTGGTAGTCATATAGCAATTTGCAAACAATTACCATATTTTATTTGAATCGTTTTATATCCATCTATTTTTAAATAATGATTGAAGAAGAAAATAGAATAATATCTTTATCTTCCTCAGGTGATTTTCCTAATGAAGAATATAATTATAAATTTAAATTAAGTATTATGGGAAATTTTTTCAAGTCACTCAACATGAACATACCAATACAAATAATAAAATTATTGCAGAATGCAAAGAATGCCATAAATCTATTAGTGGCTCACCGGACTCATCATCAAATTTTGTCAAGAATTGAAAAGTATAATATATAATTTTATTATAAATCACATTTATAATTTATAATCATATTCATTACCATTTCATATTCCATATCAATATTTTACTGTATTTGGAAGTATTTTAAAATAAATTTTATATTCACGATTGATAATGAAACTAAAATGATATATAAAAATCATATATGAAAAGAATAAGAAAATAAATATTGATAAAAAAGAGATCATTAAATTGAGCACTAGTCCAATATATAATGCACATATTTAGGGTACTATTTTTATAGGATAGTATATAATACAATATTTAATCCACCTTTCATTTGTATTATTTTTTAAATTTTTACAAATATGCTTAAAATATATTTTTTTTATAGATAATATAGATGGCCTATATTGCATTTAAGAAAAATTCTTGCAAAAGTATCATATTTGATTTTCATTATTATTATTTATAATTTTAACGGGTAATAATGAGCATTATTTATCAAAACATTTTGGCATAAATATCATAATATTATAATATAAATATATTTTATATAATTATATCATTTCAAAATAGATTTTTACAAAAAAATAGGGCTATTCAAAATATGACCTTTTCGTGTCAAATTTACTAAATAAATCTCTAATTTTTTTCACTGAAAGACACGTCATCTGGAATCATAGAAAAATTATATTAACCATCATAAAATATTTAAAAAAAGAAAAAACAAAAAGAAATTGTGAAAACTGCAAAATCATTAACTCAAAAAACTCTAAAATTTTTAAATGATAAAAATAAAAAAATATCTCAAGAAAAATTTAATAATTTATTAACTTCATTTGTTGTTAAATGAATGCATCCATTATCTATAGTTGAGCAAAATGAATTTATTAAAATGATGGCAGGTAAATTTAATTTTTCTTTTTTATTCTTATATCTTCTACTTGTCAATTTATTAAAAATATTATCTTGTATTTGATTACCATTACCAATTAAAAGTTTTCTCGAGGATCTTTGCAAATAAAAATTTATGAAAGCTTCATATATGAAACTGATCATTTAAAACAGTTATTGAAAGCTCAGTCATATGCACTACTACAGATATTTGGTCTACTAAGATAAGAATCTTTCTTGCAATGACGGGTCATTAGGTGATAGTGTTGTTAAACGGCTCATTTTGATCCGAATTTTTTATAAAACGGCTAACTCAATATTTTAGCCAGAAAAATTATGCCTAAGCCTCGAGATTTTGTTAATATATGTCTAGATCTTTATTCCTTCTATGAGCAAAATCTTCAGGCTTGCGTTTCTAGATGGAATATTGAGTTAGGCGTTTATAAAGGCTCAAAACGAGCCGTTTAACAACACTATTGGGTGATAAAATCATATGCTATTTTATTTATAAATTCAATTAAATATATTTTTAAATAAGCTCACAAACGACAAACGATAGTTTACAAAGACAATCTCTGGTCCTTGTTGTAAGAAGATTTTTGGGAAGCCCACATTTGATAAAATAGCAGATTTAGTTGATGAAATCTATCATGACTTTAGAATTGATGAAATCTATCATGACTTTAGAATTGATGAAAAAGTTATAACTGTGACAGACAACTGATCTAATTTAACAAAGCCTTTAAGCCTTGGATATTCTATGAAAGAAGGTGTGGAAAATGATTTTGACATCAATAAAGATGATAGAATTCGAAATCATTGAAAGTATAAATTAATACTTCTTTTATTGTAAAATTTATAATGGTATCGTAAATTTAATAAAAAAATTTATTCAAATAAAATTATTTATTTGTTTATATTTAAGGGTCTAAAGTAAAGAAGCATCAATATCATTGCCCCAGCACATTCGTTGTCTATGCCAAATGATAAGCCCTTTCGCCACAACAGATGTTTAGAACCTATTCTCCTATCATTTCTAGAATATCATCCCGACTAGCTAAGTGTACTAAGTTATAGAATGCTAGTAATAGACCTAAAACTGAGTTTATCAAAGCAGTTTTATGAAAATAAATTTAATTAGTTACACCACGCTGTACGAGATGGAATAGCATGTTTAATAGCCTTATTAGATTATTATTATTTAAAAGCGAACTTCCAAAATTATGTGAAAAATTAGAATTTCCAAAAACTAAGAGATATTGAAATGCAATATTTAGAAGAAAATTGTCATATAATGCTCCCATTGGCTATAGCGATTAACAAAATACAAAGCGAAATCAACTGCTATTATGGAGATTCAACTCCAATATTAAATATCGTTAAAAAAAATCACAAATTTAATTCAAACTTACATTTTTGCAAACCATTAGTTGATGCAGTAGAAAACTTTTTAAATAAAAGATTTAAAAATATATATGAATTTTATAATAACTTTAAAAGCGCATTTTTGGCCCCTATTTCTCATTTCTACTTTAAAAATCTTTGGATTAATGGTGAACTGAAAAAAAATACCGTCAGGATTTATTAATACATGAAGTTTTAATTATTTTTTAAAAATAATATAGAAATTAATATATAAACAACATCCTCAATTGATAAAGATGATGATTACTTTGCTTTAAAAGTACCGCATCCAATTCTAATAATTCAATAAATGATATTGAATTAGAGATCCTAAATTATATGAAAGATGATAGGTACAATATAAATATGTTAAATAGTTATAAATATATAAAGGAAATATTTATTAAATTCAACACAATATTACCACCCTCTGCCCCCGTTGAACGATTATTCAGCTTTGCTAATATAATCAATATACCAAATTGTCAAAGACTGAAAGTTGAAAAATTAATAATATTAAAAAATAATGCTGATTTATGATGTTGATTTATTGCTATTTACTAATTAATTTTTTGTTCTAATATTGTTTTTATTATTATACAATTTTTTAAAAAATATATCGCATTATTTTATATAACAAATTTGTTATTTTCTACAATTTATTTTCATATTTTTTATAAATTTATAATATAGTTAAAAAAATAAAGCTTGATACATTTTGATTTTGAGTATATAAAGTTTTTTAAAGAAAATATTATATCTTAAATA